TACTGACATTGATATTAATATAACCTGTAACGAGGGTAGAACACCTCTTCACTATTCATGTTGGCATGGTAATGTTGATCTCAGTCAATATCTCATTGAAGTACAAGACAGTGACATTAACATAACAGATAATAATAAATGGAATGCATTGACTCATAGTGCTAGGGGTGGTAACATGAAACTAGTTCAATACCTTATTAATAATCATGAATTGCCTCTCACATCATTTACATTACTTCAAGTAGTATATAGCACTAAACTATCATTAATTAAATTATTAGATAATGAATATAAATTAGATCCTTCAGTTAGAAATGGTGATGGTATGCAAGCAGTTCATTGTGCAGCTCAAGTTGGTGCTATTGATGTCTTAGAGTATTTAGTAAAAAATTGTGGATGTGATTTGGATAGAGTAGGTGGACCATACAACATGAATGTGTTTCATTATTCTACATTGAATGGTCATTTTTTATTTATTAAATATATTATTAATAATTATCCACAATATACTAGTCTATTATATTCTACTGATGATACTGATAGTCTACCAATTCATAATGCCTGTGCTAGAGGTGTAATACAACTAGTGACATTTCTAATTGATGAAATGAAATGTGATGTCACTACTGAAGATAAGAGGAGCTTCACTTGTTTCATTCAAGCATCTTTCTCTGGTAATCTTGATCTTTTAAAATTATTAATAAAACAATACAACCGTAATCCTAAAATATTTGGCACATCATCATCACCAGAAGCTGCAGTAGGGGTTGGACATGTTCACATATTAGAATGGCTCAGACAAGAGTATCATATCAAAGTAGTCTCATTTAAGAAAGGTGTATTACCTTTTCTTGCTACACATTTCAACAATTCGTATTGTTTGAAGCATTTATTAAACAATTATTCATTTGATATTAATGCCACTGATCCTACTGATAATACTCAATCTACACTCCTTCACATAGCATGTCAGGAAGGACATGTTGCTATAGTTCTCTACCTCACTAGTCTTCCTCAGTGTGACGTATCAGCTAAAACTTCAAATGGATCAACAGTTCTTCATTTATCATGTAAAAGTCGTTCTCTTCCTATACTCAAGCATCTAGTGGAGGAGCATCAGTTGGATCTCACTATTAAAGATTACAATGGAATGGCTCCAGTTCATGTAGCCTGTGAAGAAGGATCATTGAGTATAGTCAAGTACATTATAGACCATTCACCATTATCTCTTGATATGACCGACTCTTTTGGACGTACTCCACTACTTATTGCAGCTTTCTCTAAGAACCTTCCCATCATTCGTTACCTCAACAGTAAAAACTGCAACATTTCTATACTGGACGATAAAGGGTTTAACGTAATACACATATCGGCAAAGGGAGGGTCTTTGGATATATTGAGGTTTTTCATTGATGGTCGTTACTGTAATCCTGATATCACTGATGGTTTTGGTCGTACTCCACTTTATCTTTCAGCTCAAGAGGGTCACTTGGAAATAGTAGAATATCTATTGGATAGTCCAAGCTACAATAAACCACGTGTAGAATTAGTAGACATGGCAGATAGCAATGGTAACACAGCACTTCATGCAGCATGCAGCCAGGGTCATCCTGATATAGTGTCTACTATAGCAGGAGCTTACAAGTCTCTTAATATTGATATTTATTCAATTAATGAGAAGAGAGAGACTCCATTACACTTAGCAGCAGCTAATGGTCACGTTAATACAGTCGCGTCTCTGTTATCAGCCACTACTGGTACTAG